ACGGCGGCAAGATTTACAAGAACCATAAATATTAGCATGAATAGGGAGTTGTGACTAAATGGTCGCCGAAGCTTACTTTGACGGCGGCAAGATTTACAAGAACCATAAATATTAGCATGAATAGGGAGTTGTGACTAAGGATATACAAAGAATATTAGGTATTGAATGGAAGTGCTTTACCTAATAATCAAATCTTTTAATTATTTTTATTCTTTGAGCAACAACATCTTCATTTAGTGTGTGTATACCAAAATAGTACTTTTTCACATATTTCTATTATCTCTCTAATAGAGATGAGATCTATATTCATTAGCGTCCTATCTCAATTAGAAAAATGATAAACAGATGATAAATGTAGTGTTAGGGATAAGGATTGTCTGCCCTCCACTTCTGGTGCCCTCTTGTGCCCTCCTGTTTTTGTCGTCACGGTTAAGCCACGTCAACATTTTATATTACTATTCATTTTTATCTTATTATATTTATAAAAAAACAATATAAAATGTTAACGTGACTTAACGGTAACTACACAAAACAAGAAGGCACGGAGAAGGCATCGGAAGTGGAGGGCAGACAATCCTTGTCCATTACTCACATATATACAGCAAGTAATTGAATGATGGAAGCACTGTGGCCATGGATATGGTACCTTTTTACTTTTGGTTTATCTATCAAATTCATTCAATAGAGTTGTTAATTTCTAGATGCAGCGAACAAAAACTTCATTTGTTGTATGAGATGGAATTTGAATTTGATCAAATACCTCATCAACATTTCACAACCGTAAGAGTCGTAACACTTTAAACATGCTCTCAGAGTCACTGTTAACCTTTATAAAATAAAATTTAGCTAAAATGATTTTTGAGATTGGCACAACTCTTTATTTTAATTTCTGACAATGAAAATCGATAAGTGATTCATGAGTTTGTCCATCGTACATCGTTTTAGTAATTCCGTTAAAAATCTATCAATATCCTTGTTAAATTGTCACATGAAAGACCACATAACCACCTTTTTAAAGGTATTTTTGGCAAACAAACCCTCTACTTAACTAGGATATTAACAGAATTTTTGAGGAATGATCAAAATTATTTATGATGGACAAACTCAAAGACCACTTCTATCGATTTTCATTGTCGATGACCAAAATAAAGAGTTATGTTAATCTCAATAACTATGTTGGCTAAAAGGCCATAAAAACACTATATAGCTAGAACGTCAAATGTTAAAGGATGAAAACGAAGTTCTATAACAAATAAATCTGCAAAAATAAAAATTTGAAGCCAAATTGCAACAGCCCGTCCCTAATTCTAAGCTTTATAAATTTTAAATTAGTGATTTTACGAAAATGCCTTTGAGGCAAAGATTTTGACTTTCGTTGACCATCGGTTAAAGAAACATAGGACTTATTCTTTTAGCGTATCCTCATAGTACTCATCACTACGAACGCATAGGCGAAAGCTATTTGCGAGTTCGGATTATAACGATATAGTTACGGATGCTTGAAATTAGTTATTTAAAGTTCAGTTAAATAAATTGAACTCCCACCTTGTAGGAAGACTGACCAATCAGATGATAGAGAAGCAGCCAATCGGGAAAGAAATAGAGGGGTCTCCTTCCCATCGACCTATGCACACCCACGACTAACCCGTTTGTGACCCGGTTTGATTCCAGGCAAATCATGCTATTTTTCTTGTTGAATCACCACCCTCAATCACCTACAAATCACACAGTGGCCTCCCATCCACCGTCTCAGCCCAAAAACAGAGAGTTTTAGTTCCAATTTCGTGAAGGCTGACGCATAGCTTGGTGGGTACTAGGCGGCGATCCACCCATTTATGAAACACTTACCTTCAATCACCACCACCAAAACACTTCTCTAGAGGTTAGAAACAAAGCCCAAACAGTTTTATGGGCGGTGGTATTGCGGATTGATCAAATTGAAGAACACCCAAATCTAGGGTTCTCGCGGGTTCTTGGTGATTTGAAGCTTTTTTCCGGCCAAATTGGACTTAGCCACATGTATGAAACTTTCTCTACTCATTGATATCTTCATTCCTGTAAAATTTGATTTTTTTTAGAAATAGTTGATTTTTCGGGCAAGTCGGGGCGGGCGATCGCCGTGTGCGGCATCACATGGGCCAAGGATCCCCCTGACCTTCCTAAGCTAAGTGTGATACCCCAATTCCATAGGTTAAGTCCGATTGATGAAATCTCATCGTTTGAACATAGTTTTGATAGAGACCGCTACTTGATCCTTATATTAATTGACGATCCGACCGTTAGATCGTCACCAAACTTTAATATAATATAGTATGTAATATTTGAGGATATTAGAAACATATGGATTGGGAATCCGACATACGGATCTTTTCGAATTGGATTTGTTAGTTCATAAAATAAAACGTTAACCGCCACTTGAATTTGCAATTAGCGGATATCCAACCGTTGGATCGTAATGAAACTTTAGTACGATGTTTTAGAAGAATAATGTGTATCTTTGGAATTTACGGATCAGAAATCTGTGATGTGGATCTTCCAGATCGAGTTACGTAGGGTTTGGACCCTACCGTCGATCTTTGATCGACGGTTGACTTTTGGTCAATGAGTCTCAAATCATTTTAGAACGTCTTTAGGGATGTGTTTTATGTAAGTTACGTGTTCTATCGATAAGAATTCTGAGACGTGACTGAATATTTGTTTTAGGTAACGATTGTTCGTGACGCTTCGATATTCGTGCTAAGAAGTTGTAGCGTAGACCTCAGGTGAATGGGTCTTTTTCCTTTTTATAGTGTGTGTGTGTGTGTGTGTGTGTGTGTGTGTGTGTGTGTAGTTTCCACAAATGCTTTTAATTGTGTGTGTGTGTGTGTGTAGTTTCCACAAATGCTTTTAATTGAGTTATGCATGTCATGCCATGATTAAATAATGTTATATTTAAAATGTTGCATTGTTAAGAAATCATGAAATGCCAAACGATCCTACGGTATGCGTAGGTAAGTTTAGGTGAGTTTACTTTGTGATTGGAATTGTTGCATCATATTAGCTTGCACATATTCATTTAGAACTTATCATGACTGCATCCCAGTATTAGTGATCCCGCTCGGGACTAGGGCCAGCCTTCACGTGACTGTTCACCTCCAGCACCGCATGCTCACCTTGGATCCAAGTCTGGTGCTAGCCTGTCGTACAGACCACAATAAGTGGTTCCGACTCGTAGGTGACCTGCAAATTATCGCACAGCCTTCACGTGATCGTAGCACTTGAGCGTAAATATTTATACCCAGCATGTCGTACAAGTCACACTAGGTAACTACGACTCGTGTGCTAGCCTAGATTGATGAGCTACAAGTCCAGTTGTACAGGTCACGTTTGGTGACTCCGACTGGCATACTATTTTATATTGGTTTCACACCTGGCTTACATTTATTATTGCTGAGATATTATGACATGACATACTTCAGTTTTCGCTGCTCTTGTGCATTGGTTTTTATACTTTCGTAGTATTATTATTTTCTAGAAACTATATAGGTTTTATAGCGATGGGTTATAACATTTTCAAAAGGTTTTTATTAAAACTTTATTTTCAGGCTCACTCACCCTTGTTTTTCGCTCCTCAAGGTTCTAGTAGCAGAGTTTTTGTACTGACGAGGATTATTGACAAATCTTGGTGTGGACGATTACCATCGATGATATAATTCTCACCCTATTTTACTGTATTGTACTTATACTTTGTCATCACGTGTGAATAAGGTCCATTTCCGCTCACAGCGCACTTTTATATTTAGGCACTTTTAGGTATAAATTTATTCACATTTTACACATCATTACACTTTATGGTTTCGTCACCTTCTAGGTGTCGGCCAACACAGCTTGATTCGGAGTTCTAGTGGACATTTCGGGTCGAGATGTGTCAAAGTCGTCTTTAAAAGAGATTTTAAAAAGCAACTAAATTTCCACAATTTTTATTTGTCATTTTGATGATAAGCTGTACTGCGTTGTACTGCATGTTTAAAGTGTCCAAACTGTACTTTAAAGGGGTAATATTGATATTGCACAAACTCTAGAGACTCAATTCTCAATCTGTGTATATATAACAGTGCTGCACCACCAATCTGGCTGCAACTCTCTAAATAACTATTTCTGACGTATTTCTTTATTTGTTGGCCTATTACGACACTAATATGTCTTTCACTTTGTAATTTTTACTGCAAATCGTGATATGTAGGTCAATTACACATAAGCCGACCATTTTGCGAAAAGAAGGGAGTCGTTGAAAACTCGATCGAGAGACGAACCGCTCACGCCTATCCAAAAGCATGTAAGTGCTTTATTTGCGTTGAAAACACTATTTAACATTACAGGAAATGTTGTTTTTCTTTTCTTTTTTTTTCCTTTGAGAATTAAAGCTTACATCAACGAACAGATACGATATTATATAAGAGATGTTCGGGTAATTTATCCTTCAGTTCGGACAATTGGTTGAGAAGATTGGGGACCAATTTGCCACAAATTGTTGTTTGAAGGGCACTTTAGTTTCCATCATTTCACTTCGGAAGTCGTTCCTCTAGTTAGGTGAAGCACGCAAGCGCCTTAATTCGTTCTGGTTAAATCCCCTTTATAGTATTTGGTGTATAGGATGATATTTTTCTTCAATAAGCATAAGGTGATTGGGTGAGCTTTAGTAATCAAACATAAACTTTTAGGTGTGAAATTCAAAATCATCCTATAAGTTAGGAATATATTATAATAGTGAAAAGAAAATATAACGTGACAAAAAGTAAATGTTTCTAGCTGACTATTAATGGTTAATGCATAGGAAAAAAAAAATTTAACGAAAAATCTACGGTATTATCCATTTTAACGAAAAATTATATTTTTACATTAAAAAGTCAATCATAGTACTATTCATTTTACCTTTTATTTTGTCCTTATCATTAAAACTTAAAGTTTTCAAACTTTTTTTCATTAGTTTTCTTAAAAAAAAAATTAAACAAAGTTAAATTAACGAACAAAATGTGATTTCTAATTCATATTTCATGGTGATGAAAATACCACATCATCATCATGTTTATTTTGTACACGAACATTGACTATTCAAAAGGAACAAAACCACCAAATTGAAGAATTACAACACATGATCGATCCAAGCATGATGATGATCATACGATTCTTGATGCCTGGGTTGACATAACTAACTAAGAAGCAAATTCAATCTTGATACCACCAATCTTGACAGCGCCGAACTTGGGCACCAAAGTCACCACCACGCTGTCATCGTCCTCCGCCTCAATTTCCTCCAACAAATCTGTCAACCCTAACCTCAAAATAGTGTTCATCTTCTTCTTGTGCTTGTGGCTGTGCGGCACACTTACAAAGCTTCCGGCAAACTCCGTCTTGTCAGGCCCACTCGGCAAGTCATCGACGTCATTCACATACACATCAAACTTCACAGCCACGTCCCTGTCAAACTCGATTCCCTCAATCACCAATATCTCCTCCTCATCCTCCTTGGCCTTCTTGCTCCTCTTCTTCTGCTTCGGTCTCTTCACCACCGTGCTTATCTTCGACCCCAGACTTATCGGGAACTCAGTGCCTGCCACCACCTTGCTGGACGACGCAACAGCTGCGTGTGCAACTCCCAGCTTCTTCGCTACTTTGCTCAATGCAACTTTCGCCCTTCGCGGTGTTGGCTTGGAGCTGAGCCAAGGAATGTCCACATCTTGGTATACATACCCAAGATTTTTGGTCTCCAAGCAGTCCCTGACCTTGACTCGGACTAACTCTGCGTTCTCGTTGTAAAACAAGAATCCGGAGTCCAACCAGTCCGAGTCAGTAAGATCAGTTCTCTTACCTCCAAGAGTTTTCCAAATACTCCACATTCGATCGACATTCGAATGGTGTGCAAAAAATATGGGGTCCCGACCAGCGGAGTAAAAATTCCCCATGTCCTCAAAGTTGGGCTGGGTGTTGTCACCGGTCCATAAATGAACCGGCGCGTGTGGTGTCCCCTCGATGGAGCCGCCACCAGGGTCAGGCTCGTCCCCTGCCCTGTACGGGTTCCCAAAGAACAACTTAGCATTCTTGGAATTGGACACCATTTGCCTGTACATGATTTTGAGATTGGCGTTGATTGTGGTTTCCTTTGACACATTGTCCTCGGTCCCGTTGTAATCGAGATCGACCAGAGTCGGGGGCTGATGATTGGCAGATCGGAGCTTGTCGTAGAGAGGGGACTTTGGATCAGCGTAAATCGCGGGCAGTGGCATGCCGGCTGGCGAGTCCCAGTTCCAGAACGGCAAAGCGAATGTCGGGTCGTTAATGAGTTTGCCTAGGATCTTCTCGAAAAAGTACAAGTAGTAACGGTGGAACGGGAAGAAGAGCCATGAGTTGTGGATTTGGAGCTCGAGTTCTGGGAACCCGACTTGGTCATAGGCGCCGTCGCAATAAGCGCAATGCACGGCTGCCTGTTGCTTGAAGCTACGTGGGTCGTCGTCGGGTAGGGCCTTCATGAGCTCCATCGCTTTGTAGTATTTGTCCCTGTAGGCTTGGTCAACGGCGTGAGCCGGTGGCCTGATGCGGAGTTTGGCGGGGGCAGGCAGCTTAAAGTCAATGATTTTTGTGGAAGGCGGCGGGCAGCAGTTGGTGGGCACTGCACCCTGTGGCAAGTCTGCAGGACCACATTTAGATACGTCTGGTGGGGCTATAGGCTTGGCAAAAGCGAACGGGTCTGTGCCCATACCCGCCACGCCGTATAGACCTCCAAGACCAAGAAGCACATTTCTCCTGTCTAGTTTGGACTGTGCTTGATCATTTTGGTCATTGTTTGTGGCTTTGCATGAGACCTTACGTGCAAAGGAACGCTTGGGCTTTGTGAGTAGGGAAACTTGGGAGTTGTTTTGAGAGAAGGGGGAGAGAGGTTTTGTGGCGGGGTTGGGAACGGTGGGGGTGGTGACTACCGGAGGTGAGAGAGACGTCATGGCTTAGCTCTCTGGTTTTGTTGGGTACATTGATAAAGATCAGGGAGGTTGCTTTTATAAAGGATTTAGGTTTTACTTTTATGACCAATAACCATGTAGATACCCCGCAGGTGTCGAAATTTAAAAAGAAAAAAAGGACCCCCCAATATCTTGCACCACGTGCGGGGTTAAGAGAAAGGGAACTCAAAGAGAACCTTCCCTCCCTGGTAAATATTTCATGTTAATCTTCTTTTCTAGGTGTTCACTTTCAGAACGAAGGAGAAAATCTTTGCTTAACACACAATTGTAATACAATAGCCTAATAGGATAGATTTTTCATACAATATCTAATGGTACTTTCTCAATGTAGATATCAACGAATACACTATAAAATGGTACTATCTTGAATACAATATATTTTAGGTTACATCGAGTAGGTAGCCGTAGCACTATTCAAATTCACTAGCTAATTATTATTTATAAAACTTCATTTTAATCCTTGACAAATATAATTTTTTGATTAAAACCATGAGTAAGATCAAAATCTAATTTTAGTCCCTTGATACATTAATAACCTCATTTATTAATTATATTTTGATTTTTTAATTATTTATCTTTTTTTTTCTAATTTTTAATGTATTAATTTTATTTCATTATAATTTTTATTTTTATTTCATTCATCGTAATATATTTTGTTGTGAACATTTAGATAAACTAATTTTTGTTATACAATATATTTTGATGTACTTTATCTTCTTCATTTAGGTATATTAAATTCATTATAATACACTTCGATGCATACATTTAGGTACACACATTTCGGTACATACATTTCGATACAAACATTTAGGTGCATTAATTCAATATAATACATTTTCGGTACTAATATTTCAGTACATACATTTTGGTACATACATTTAGGTACATTAATACATTTCGGTGCATATATTTAGGTTCATACATTTTGGTACTAACATTTAAATATATTAGTTCAATATAATATATTCCGGTACTAACATTTAGGTACATTAATTGAGTCTTTCTAGTTTGAAGAATGTTAAATAAAATTAATAAATTAAAAAACTCTTTTTTGGTCAAAAAATAAATTAAAATTTGTGTATTAATAAATTTAAATATTTAATGGGAGACATTAAATAAAATTCACATTAATTATTTTGAATTAAGGGCACATTAGGGACTAAAATTAATATTTAATCTAACATCAAGTTTTTTTTTAATTTTAATCTTTTTGAGGGATTAAAGTTCAAAAACCTCATTATTTAGGGATGTGATATCCACATACCCCTTTTTACTTATTCCACACCTTTTTGGTTTTCGACCGTCAGATCGGATGAATTGAAGAAGATCAACGGACAGAAATTAACAAGTGGTGTGTGGATAGCACATCCCATTATTTATAGATAGTGTTTTACTACAGTAGTAGAAAACAATTATGTCTATGTACTCACCGATCATTCTTTTCCTTAACAACTAACAACTTAACTCACTAACGATATCATTAATGAAGTTACTATTTGAGTCCTCCAGTATATATCATCTTGTTATTGCTTCGCAAAGGATTAAGACAAGTCTACAACGGGGAGCTTTGATTATCTTGCAAAGTGGATTGCATAATCCCTTTATTCTTCATGGTATCTTTGTCAACCCAACGTTTTCTCAACGTTTTCTTAGTTTAGTGTTGGGTTGCTAGCCTCTTTACGCAAAAGCTAGATATGCGAAGCGATCTAGCTAGTAACGTGAGTAGAATTTTTCTTTGGGCCAACAGAAACGCGTTTAATTTGTACACGGTATTTATCCCAAGTCAAATTTGGTTTTTGCGATATGAAGGTGACATTTTGGATATGTGACAGATCTCGGTCACGGTTTGCTGTTATTAATATTTTTTTTTAAATTGTACGTTACCGATTTCTGGAAATTTTTAAATGTGTTAGTGGTGGAGAGGTTAAATCTACCAAATCCACAAGGCAATTGGCCAGATAAGAAATAACTAACATGCCTGCCAGAAGGAAAATGATTGTTTGATTGATTTCATGAATTGTTATAATAGCAATAGTTCTAGTTGATTTACGTATGTAGCGCACATGGCCACCTCACTACCTTTGGGGTGTGTTTGGTACGTGGGACGGAACGGGACGAGGCGTTCCGTCCCGCGTTTGGTGCGTCAAAAATGGGTGGAACGGGCTGTTCCACGGGATAGATTTTGGGTGTTTTTGCGTTCCACCTCCCCCCCGTGGAACGGGTTTGTTCTACGTCTGTGGAACACAATGTTTTACCATTTTAAGACAAATATACTCCATGTCTTTTTTAAAAATTACACCTTCGTTCCGTCCCGTCCCGTTCCGTCTGCGTACCAAACGCTCCCTTGACTTCGTTGAAGAAAATGGTTTGCCTAAAATCTCATCGATGATCAGCTATTTTATATGTACATTTTGACAATAATTTAATATATAAGTTGCATAAAAACAAGGCGGATAAAATGTCTAACTACTAATATTATGTCAATCGTCGTTGTTTAATTTTCTTTTGTGGTGCTTAAATACTTTACGTAACTATTTTGATAGTGAGCTACAAGTCTCGTCAAAAAAAGAAAATTGATGTAGGAGTTGGTAGATAGGAGACTAGTCTATGATGATGATGATGAAGACAAAAGATAATGAAGTGTCAACTGTCAAGGTACTTAATTAAATAAAGGCCATCAAATTGAGATTATTTATGGGTTACATTAATTTAATCAATTCCAACATATGGGCAAAAGATTTGAATGAGAAGGGAAAGCATCATTTTCATCAAATCCATCGTGACGTACAATCAGGATCTTTGATATTTGATCTAACGATTATAAGTAAGGATCTATTTTAAAAATTATAATAATTTTAATCGTTAAATCAAATTTTAAAAGTCCGAATTGTATGCTTTTGATGGACTCGGTAAAATTGATTCAAAGATAATCCTTTTCAAAATCCGAAGAGGATAACCTTGTTTAAGAGAAATTGTATCACATGTGGGACGACATTGAGCATGCTCTTTGAGGACTTTATGCTTTTGGGTTCTCTCCCCCACCTTCTCCTCTTGTTGGTTCCCCAAATGTTTTGGAATATTAACATGGGCCAAATTATTCAAGTATTATTCATCTAACTCGTTGCATAAAAAAAAAATTATCCTCGAGAAATTAAAAAATTCAAATATAAATGTAATAGATCTGAAAGTAGATTATTTTATGCATATAGAGCTTTATAGATCATGCACCCACTTGTCACAACGACTTCTTTATAAGCAGCAGGATGAAGAAACTCGTGGCCCTTTATTAAATAACGAGGTGTACAAGTAGTGGATTGGTCCTGAATCCTGATGCATGAAATTTATTAGATTAATTTGTTGAGAGTATTAATTTTACATAAAATAAATAAATTTGTATATGCTTATAAGTAAATAAATTGTTATTGGTATTTTAAAATTTTCATTTTACAGTTCAAATTTTTTATATTTAAAAAGAAAAATACACTTGTAAGACATGTAAAATGAGAATTTGAGAGTGTTAATAACAAGTCACCAACCCCATGCGGTGGGGCAGCTCCGCAACAAGAATAACAGCATGAAGCTCTGCATAGAAGTATGATGTCCAAACTCTGAGAAAAACCGCTAAGAAAATAACCCGTAAAATCACGTAAGACCCCATCATAAACTGCAGGACCCGAATTACACTTAGCAAGAGCACCTATATTCCCTTTAACACAATTATACAAAGGAGGATGCTGAAGAATGAGACCAATAGGAGGAGCATTACATAACTTAGTCAGAATCTCAAGAGAGACTAATGACATGTTTACGTAAGGGTAATCGGAATAAAGAAAGGGAATTGAATTCCGATTACGGAGTATTTCGGTGTTTACTAAATATTAAGGAATCAAAACAGTGGTGGAGCCCACACGAAACAAGGAATCCAATTCCTGAAATTGGAGGAACCGGATTCCCTAGTTTTGTGAGGTATTTGAATTCCCTAAGGGCAAGGGAATCAGGAATGCATATTTTATTCCAATTATGCCCTCACTTGTTTCTTATTATCCCAACATTGCCCTTCATTTGACACTCATTATGTCATTTTTAATAAATAAATAAAACCTATTTATATTTTTTTATATAGATAATTTTATTATATAAATTTAATTAAGAATTTAATTTAATTAATTAGTATGAAAATAATTTATTTATGTAAGGGCAATTTAGTCATCAACTTAGTTTTCATTCCGATTGAAGTGAATTAGTAAACAACTTATATAGACTCAATATCATTTTTGCCATCTTTTAATAAATAAATAAAACCTATTTATACATGCTTATATAGATGAATTTTATTATATAAATTTAATTAAGAATTTAATTAAATTATTAGTATGAAAATAATTTATTTATGTAAGGGCAATATAGTAATCAACCTAGTTTTCATTCCGATTGAAATGAATTAGTAAACAACTTATATGGACTCAACATCATTCCTACTCCGATTCCTGACAGTTTTAGTAAACAACTTCAACAGGAATCTGATTTTGATTCCACCTCATTTCAATTCCTCCTCAATCCAATTCTCCCTCAATCCAATTCCTCTCAATTTGATTACGGATTAGTAAACGCGCCATAAAATCTTCGCGAATATGGAAAGCTCCAGACCGCCTGATCCATTTACTATAGGTTAGAGTTGTAATATTACTTGTAATATATATATATATCTCTCTCTCTCTCTCTAATAGATAAATATTCGTAGTTTCACACAAGATCTGGTCAAAAGAAAAGAGCAAGGTCAAGGTGGCTGGATTTACACGCATAATCGGCTGTGGTTCTCGTAGAAACCAGTTTTTCAGCTTTTTGAATAATAAAAAGCAGATGAATTGTCTGCCCACCTTCTTCATACCCCTTTTCATATTCTCCTGTATGCTTACGGTTAAATTACGTCAATATTTATTTTTTATCTTATTATTTTTATAAAAAAATTAAAATAAAACATTATCGTGGTTTAATCATGA